CTTTCTCACCTCTAGCCTTAGGAAGAAGCAACTCTCTTCCCCTGAGCCTCAGACCGAGCGGCCGGTGAATGGGGGGGGCAGCGGCTGTGGACGCGGCTGCGCGCGGGCCCTCCCTCCCAGGCTCATGGCGGAGGTGGCGGGACGGCCTCACGCTCTGCCGGCTGCTTGAGCAGGGCCCTTACCCCTGCTAGAGGCCACTGGGGAGGCGTGTCCTTGAACTATGTGCAGGGAGATGTGGAATTTTCCCGAAGGAGCGGGGGTGGGGGGGGCACTGCTCTTAGCAACATGGAGAAAACAGAGCCTGGTCTGCAGGCCCCGTGGCCAGCGTGATGAAACTGAAGACATGCACCAAAGCCGGGCGGCAGATGCGGGCAGCCAGGCCACAGTGTGCCCAGCCGTCACAGGCCACGGGCATACTCAAAACACGAAGGCCGAGTGGTGCCTGCAGGGCTGAGCGCCCGCTCGGCCTGGGCCAGGCTGTCGTTGGCCTGGCGGTCCAGGTCATGGCACTCCCGCAGGGCGTGCTGGAACTGCCGGCAGGCCTCCTCCAGGATGGAGCTGCTCTGGGTGGGCCTCGACTCCCAGTAGCCCGGCTCTACCCAGGGCTGGGCCTCCGTGGCTCGGGGGCCGGGGCTGGAGCCGGGGCGCAGGGAGCTGTCCAGGTCGCGGCACAGCTGGTAGAACTCACTGCCCCGCCCGCTCACGCGCTCGCCGTCGATGACCTTCAGGCCGGGGAGCAGCTCTCGGACGGCCGCCCAGTAGGAAGGGCTGGTGCACAGCGGGTTGCTGAGCCGGGCCAAGGGGTCCCGGAGCCGCAGGTACTCGAGGCCCCGCAGGCCGGCCAGACACTGCAGCTGGCCGGGGGTGGCCAGCAGGTTGCCCGCGGCGTTGAGACTCTGCAGGCTCTCGCAGGCGCCCAGCGGCTCCAGCCCCGTCAGCCGGTTGTCGGCCACGTTGAGCACCGCCAGCTGGCGCAAGCAGGCCAGTGGGCCCAGCTGGGTGAGCGCATTGCCCGACAGGTCCAGCCACTCGAGCCCCAGGCACTCCCCCAGGCAGCCCAGGTCCACCAGCCCCAGGCCCCGGAGCTTCAGCAGCAGGATGGACTCGAGGGCGAACTCACCCGAGCGAGACTTGAGCAGCTGGGGCGTGACACGCACGCCGTCTGCCTCTGCCGGCTTCTCACCCTGGGGCTCCATCGGATGAAGTCTGTCTGGGAGGCCGGGGCCCTGGCGGTTCTGGCTCGGGGACGCGGGCGCCACTGGGGGTCGGCTGACGGCTCGCCCCGAAAAAGGCACCATCCCCTCTGCCTGGGCCAGCGCCGGAGGCCCGTTTCCGATACCCCTGCTCGCGGGCCAGTGGGCTCCTACAGAGAGACAATCACACAGTAAGCGGGCTTCTCCTGAGCACCCCCTGAGCCCGCAGCAGATGACAGCATGAGGTGTCGCCCAGCCTCTCCCACCGGACCGGCCCGGCCAGACCCAAGGACACAGAGCCCTCCTGAGGGAGGGGGGCCAGGCTCCGGCCCCCACCTAAGGGAACCCCTGACAGGCTCCAGCAGTTACAGCTGTACTGGATGGAATTCGGGTGCCATGTGACCGATCCTTTCCATTTTCCGTATCTGCACCGGGAGGCAAAATCTCTTCATTTTCCTTTTTTGGTACCGGCTCATGATCTCTCCTTATTAATTCTGAGGTGTTTCTTTTTAAGCATTTCAATTAATTCCTGAATAGCTAACAGGTCACCACCACCAACCACCTCTTCGGTTTCCTTCCATATGCAGACACAGAGGACAGCATGCTGGGCCTCACTTCGTTCTCTCAAAAATGTCCTCGGCTCAGTGCTTTTTTTTAACATGAGCAATGAATTCAAAATGGTTTCCAGATTGCGTGGGCCGACTTGTAACCTCTGCTTGTGGTCGTGGGGCCTGGAGGCTCAGCTCTCCGCCCAAGATGGGGAGACTGAGGTCAAGGGAAGGAGGTGGCAGCACGGGCAGTCCCGAGGCCGCCACCACCCGCCCTCAGCCCCAGCGGCTGCCGCACTAGCTCTTCACTCTGGCGCCGACAGAAGGGCGTCGAGTCCCGTGTGCCAGGCAGCGCGGGCTAGGGTTAGCCAGAGAAGGTAAGCAGGGCAGAAGGCCAGGCAAAGAAGCCATGCTGGAGGGAAGGACCTGGCTAGCACCTAGGTTCCAGAAAGGCAGGGGAGGGAGGGCCTTTCCAGGCACCAGTGGCTGGGGGCGGCATGAGGCCAGGTGCTAGTGCGAGGGAGGAGGCCTGGGGGAAGGATAGCGGCAATGCCGCCCACAGAGGGGTCAAGGTTTCAGCAGAGAGGAAAACAAGAAGGGATCTCTGTTCCAAGTGGCAGCCTCCCAACCCTGCAGACTCGGGCCAGGCCTGGGCCAGGCAGGGTGACGCCTGCAAAGAACCATAGGATTATTCACTCCTGCTGTTTATAAAACCTGGGCTCCAGGGTATCAACGAGTCCCAAGTCTGCATTTACATAATCCACACCACTTTTTATTTCCCTCTCTGAGGGAGATTTCCCTCACCAGGCCCAGAGTTCCACCCCCTCCCCCAGCCCCTCCCCCCATCTCTGAGCAGGGGGTCCCCTCATCTTAACCTAGCTCCCCTCTATTCTGCAACACTCCTTCATTTCTACTTCATTTCTTTCCAAAAGCGATTCGAGGCATCCACTAAGAAGTCTGGGTCACTGTATTCGAACGGGACCTGCTAGGGCTTGTAAGCAGCGAGAGGGGGTTAAAACTGCTGCCCATGGGGGGGAGGGGTGCAAGAAGGGCACCAGGTACCAGAAGCCTGCCATAAACACTAGGGAGACAAGGCCTTCACCAAAGGTAGTGAGCGCTGGAGAGGAGCGCTCTCTGGAGTCTAGAACAACTTCCAAGGATCTAGTCACATTACTGGATACATGTGGGACACACAGGACAGGCAGGGGGGCAAGAAGACATCCAGTTTGAGATGACTGTGTGCATCCGGCCTAGGAGGCAGTTGGAGCTCTAGGCTGAAGGGATTCAAGCGTTACCTGCAGAGGTGCCCAGTGGGAATGTGCGGCTCACTGGGCCAGCCTTTCCGGGGGACACAGACCTCTTTAGGTATTTGAAGGCCTCTCTCCAGGATGATGCAGAGCCTCCCTAGCCACACACTATTTTGGGGGTGAAAGTGGTCAGGAGGCCCTGGCGTCCAGTGAAAAGGAGCAGTCATGGGCCGACGTCGAGAGAATACCACGTTTATGAGGCTGAATGGAGGGCACTGATGAGCAGCCAGAGGGAGGCGAGTGAGGACACAGTGAGGGACACTGTGTGAAAATGCCCACTGGACTGAGGAGGCTGCTGGGTGGAGCAGTGTCAGGCGGAGGCAAGCCCACACCCCAAGCATGATGGTCAGGGAGTGATGCCCCAAGGAACGGGCTCAGTGACCTCAGGGACCGTCTGGATGTAGGTGGCCGCTGTGGCGGGAAAGGACAAGGGGACCAGAACGGGGTGGGGGGGGGAGGGAACTGTACGTGCTCCCCACATTAAAGCTGGGAGGAACACTTTTGCAGAAGAGGAAACAGAGGAGCCAAGAGCACATTCACTGGAAATCAGGACTTCCGTGCCCCAAAGCCCTGCCTGGCAGGGGACCACAACCCTCCGGCCCACAGCTCTGCGCCTCCCACCCCGGGCCCCGGGCCCTCGCCGGTGACAACACTGCACAGTCACCAAGGTTTTGAAACATGGGTTCTCCAGGCGATGGACCCCTCTCTGCTCCCGGTCCCACCTTACCTGACATCTGCACACCTCAACCAGGCAGGTGTGGGCATGGCCGAGCCGCCCCCCGAGCCGTGCAAACCCAGCTCCCACAGAGGCCAGCAGCACAGAGCAGGCCCCGCAGGATGGAATGGCTCCTCCACACCCAGCTGCTTCAGCGTTCCTCTCTAAAGAACCAGAGTCCTCCTATCCTGGCCCTGCCGTGGAAAGGAGCGCACAGAGGCTCCAGGGCCCACGTGTGTCTGCCAACAGGGCTTGGTTACGTGGATGAGACTAGGACGAAGGCACAGCCGCCGCTCGGCTTTCCTGCGGGACGCCTGTCTTCCCTTGTTCAGGACTGCCTTTGCCAAGTCTCAGTTACCTACCTAGGGAGTGGGCCGGGAAAGGACGCCCACGAGCTGGCCAGGGCAGGCCAGAACTCTGTCCCGGGGAGAGGTGGTCAACGCAGAGCAGCCTCAAGTGCGGGCTCCCGCTGCTGCAGGGAGCCTGGAGACCCCTCCTCAGGCCTGTCCCTCCCGCCCCATTCACAGTGCAGGTCAGGGCTCTTTACCTCTGCACTGCCGCCACTCGAGAGCGGATACGTTATCCTGTGCCTTGGAGGATGTTCGGCAGCATCCGTTTGCCACCCACGAGAGGACAGGAGCAATCCCACCAACAAGCCGTGACAGTCAATGTCTCCAAACATTGACAAATGTCCCCTGAGGGACAAAACCGCATCCCCCACCCCCACCCCAAGAGCTACTGCTTGGGACCAGCAAGCTTCTCTGTCACCCTCTTCCACTCCCCAACTCCCACATGCTCCCGCCCCTGCTGCCTAGCCCCTCTCGCCTGCCAACACTGCAAAGCCGGCTCAGTGACACCACACAGCAGGGACAGCTCAGGGGACTGCAGTGCAGGGCAACACGCCCCCCCCCCCCAACGGCGACTTTAGGGCACCTCATATTCCTGCCTCCCACCCCACGTACTGAGTCAGAATCTGGGAGGGAGGTACAGGACGCCGCAGAGCTGAGAGCAGCGGGGAGAGGCCCAGGGCCACGCTCTGACCTTACCACCCAGCTGCACTTGATTTGGAGTTAGGGATATCAGAGGTGCAGCCATCATCCAGGGCCCCCCGCGACAAACCTCCCCTCCAGTCCCAGGGGAGCCTAGAACAGCTTGGGGTGGGGGGTGGGCGGGCAGGGAGATGTGACCTAAGCAATTTGGAGGCCAGACTTTAAATCATGCTACTCCGACCATTAAATATGATCTTTACAAACCTTTATTTAAGAAAGAAGATGAGGTAATTATGAAAATACAACATACTCAACAGGACAGAGAGTACAATCCCAAGGTTAAAAAAACGAAGTATGCCCCAGTATTAACAAGACTATCTGAGTGCAAGGATTATGGCTAATTTTTCCTGCTTCCTTACATCATCAGTAACTTCCACATGTCCTACAGTTAATTACTCATAGCGACACATGACTGCCAACCCTTCCAAGGGAGGCCAGGGGATAGGCGTCCCAGGCTCACCCCCACAGCCGGGGCCCAAGCCCAGGTTAGACCTCGAGTGCCTCGCCCCACCTCCGCCTACCGGCCCTCCCTCTCAGAGCCACCCTTCCAGCACCCAAGCACCTCAGGAGAGCCAGGTGTGCATCGTGCGTGGGGTGACAGGCCTGCCGCCTAATCCTCCGGCCTCTCCCTTTCCTTCTTTCCTCACCCGATCCCACCAGCTCCTGGGGCTTGCGCACTCAGCTCTGGACCCTGCCCTGAAGGCACTCTGGGCAGTCTGGCACCAGTGGGCCTGATACACATCCTTTTGTGCTTCCAGGGAGAGGATTTGCCCTTTGCAAGTGACCAGGGAAAAGGGGAGGTGTGGGCGCTGCAGGAGGGATATACATGTAGCTACCTACAGCCTGGATAGCCGTGAAGCTCTTTCGGAGACTGCTTTCACTGTAGAAAGGAAGAAACCCCAGGGTCTCCAGCAGTCTGGAAACAAACCATGGGTAAGAGGGCCGTTCTGAGGACTGGGTCCATCGGCCGTCCGCAACTCACACATCCTCACCGGCTGGGCAGTCCCATCAGCTGGGGTGATCTGGCCACTCTGGAATCCACAAGAAAGTACCGACCCCAAGAAGACTGGTGCGTGCGTGTGTGCATACGCTTCCCTCTTAACACGGCTACTCTACTTCAGGGCTTCTTTCTTCTACAGTGAAAGCAACTGTGGCCAAAAGCTTCCATAGCTTAGCAGGCCCTAGCTGGTTGAGCAGATTTCCCATCTGCCAGCACCCATGCCTCTTCTTGTCCCTCGTCACTTTGTGAGAAAGCAGAGCTCTTAAGGGCACGAGACGTACACGGACAAGTTGCACGGGCCCTTACTACCCACCAACACTGCGAAAGGGCGCTGCAGCTTAGAGAAGCGTGTAGTACAACTTCCCAGTCACTTCTGGACACAGTTAACCTTTCCTATGCACAAACTGCTAGAAATAAATGAAGCAATGGGTGGATGGAAAAACATCATCTCCCTGGGGGAAAAGGCAACCTGTCAAGAATTGAGAAACTGTCCTTATTCCTTCCAAACAGGTTTAGGACTGCAGCCATCCCCGTCTAACGCCCTAGAGTGCACATTCTGCTCTCCTCCGAGCCCAGGCACAGTTCCCACAGGCAGACTTTCAGGGAGTCAGACGGAGGTCCACCTTGCTGGTCTGCTCCCCCTCGGCCAGGTCTCCACGGGGGAAGAGGAGGGGAGGGGCGATGTACTTGGGGAAATTCTCCAGGTTGGTCTTCAAGAAGAGGAGACGCTCAACGGTCTCCACTGGGAGAGGGGCACTGGGCTGCACAAAGGCAGGGCTGTCCAGGGAGGCACAGACACTTCCAGAGAAGGCCCCTGTTGGGGGACAGGACAGATAGACAGTGGCCAGTCTTGCCAGAGCTGGCCAGACCTCCTGCCTCTTCTCCCAGTAAACCAGCGGGTCCTCCTGGGCGCCAATCGTCTCATTCTCACGCAGGTACTTCTTGACGATGATGCTAGCCAGGTGGCTCTCGGTGGACAGGGAGGCCCCGCTTCTCTTGGACGCCAGCAGCCCCACACTTTCCAGCTGCTCCAGCAAGCTCCTCTCCTTCTGGCCGAGCAGCAGAGACCCAGAGCTGCTTCTGTGTGCAGGCTCTTTCCGGCCCTTCCCCTCGGCCCCAAGGCTCCTGGCGCCCGCATGCATGCTCTTGGGGCCGTGCGGGGAGGGGGAGGGAGGCAAGGAGTATTCGCACACCATGATCTCCTTCACCTTGTACACGAGAACTTGCTTCCAGTGGTCGATGTCGGCCCCCGTGGGCAGGATGGCCTCGATCTTGCCCTTGAAGCGGGGGTCAAGCAGGGTCGCCAGCACGAACTCCTTGCGGTGGAAGAGCTCGTTGAGCCGGCAGTCTGTGGCGAGCTGCAGGGCCAAGCCCTTGGCCAGCCGGACGGCGGCACCCACCTCCGCACCGCCCTGCTCCTCCAAGTGCCGCTGCACCTGCTCCAGGAGGATGTGCAGGTAACGGAGCTGTGGCAGCACTTGGCTCAAGGACGCCTGTGCGGCGCTCGCCTCCCGGACCGCCGTCTGGAAGGGCTGCAGGAGCGTGACCAGACTGTCCGTCAGGCTCCAGAACGCGGGCGACAGGGCGGCGCCGGCCTTGCCCAGCTGGTGCTTCGCCTCGTACTCCCGCAGCGGCCGCTGCTGCGCCACCAGCCACTCCATCAAGCGGTAGGCGGACCCCCAGTGGTCTGAGAGCTCCCAAAAGGGCTGGTGGGCCGGGAGGCCGCACTGCCGCTGCAGCCGGGTCAGGAGGCGCCGGGCCCCTGCAGAGCCTTGGAAATGGCTGCAGATGGCCCTGACCGTACCCAGGACGATCTGGACGCTCTGATGGTGACTCAGGAAGTTTGTCACCAGGGAGTCGAGGCAGTGGGCAAAGCAGGGGAGGTGGGTGTAGCCCTCCGTCCTCACTGCCTGCTCCAGGCTGAGGCAGCTGCCCGATACCAGGAAGCCGGGTCGCAGGGAGCTTCGGCTGAGCCACAGGCTCACCTGCTCCCGCAGCTCCCGCTGCCTCTCCTCTGCAGTGCTCTCCCGGGGCAGGCCTCGAACCCAGAGCACGGCGTGCTTCCTCGGGCTCTCCGCCGCCGCCAGCCGACCGCCCGGCCGTATCGCTCCCCAGTGGGCACTGACGGCCACATAGTCCACATCTGCGTCCTGGGCGGCAGCGGACATGGTGAGGTGGACGCAGCTGCCCTCGGCCCACTGCATCTCCCGACACACCTGCTCGCCGACCGCTTCACGGAGCAGAGGCAAGGCTTTATCGGAGAAGAAGGCCGGAGGCGGCACGCGGTAGCAAGGGTCGGCCTGGGCCATAAACCTTCTGAAAGGCAGGGACGAAACAAAGGAGAGCGGCAACGCCAGGCCACAGAGCAACTCCGCGATGCCGTGGTTCCAGGCCTGCGCTCGGGGCGGGCAGGGGGCAGCGGCGCCACCCTGGGCCTCCATGACCGCCAGCGGGAGCGCGGCAGGTTCATCTTTGGTGGAAGCGGGCAAGAGTGGTGGAGCCGGGAACAGCTGCTCGGGGGAGGCATCGGGGCAGCGTCCTGGCGAGGGGAGCCCCTCGGGGGCAAGGCTAGCGGTGCTGGCGGGCAGGCCCTTGTGCTTTTTGTCCCCAGTCCCTCCCCTCTTCTCCCCTGGGCTGGCTGCGGTCGGCCTTCTCTCTCTCTCCAGCCCATGCTTACTCACCAAGTGGTGGACCAGGCCTGAGGCCTGGAAATGCCCCTTCAATTGGCCGTGCCTGACACTGGCATGACACAGAGTGCAGGGGACAGGGCAGACGTTCTTGCAGTCAGTGGTAAAGAGCTGTCTGATATCAGACGCGGGCTTCGGACCCACGGCGTCCAGAGCGCCGGAGGAATGCCTGGGGAAGGCCCAGCCCTTGGTCTCTGCCTTCAGAGTCCTGACCAGCTTCTTCAGGCAGGGCGGCTTCTGGAGGCTCACCAGGGATGATGTCTCCCCAACAGCAGCAAGCAAATGCCTCTTCTTCCACTTCTTGAGGCGCCGCACCTCCCTGGCCAGATGGGCTATGAGGACGTCAGCCTGCTTTACCTTCTCGCTCTCAATGGGCTGGCCCACCTTGGACCTGTCCGGACTGGCCGCCTGGACTGGCGCTGGGGTCAAGGGGGACTGGCCAGAGCTGAGCACTGGGTCTCTCGACTTCTTCAGTGTCAGCTCTCCCTCCTCTCTCTGTCCACGTGCCTTCTGTTTGGACACCTTCTTCTCAGGCTGCCCAGGGGGCTCCGGCCCAAGCACAGATTTGAGGCTATAGAGGCCAGAGTCTCCCTTCGGCTTATTCCGCCCAGGGCTGGCCAGGCACTTTGTATGGGAGGCAGCCGCGTGAAGATCAGGGCTCCCCAGGGAGCAGGCTTTTCTCTTCTCGCTGTAGACATGGAGGCCCAGGGTGCCTTCTTCCTGCTCCTCCAGGAAAACTTGGCCAGGTAAAGGGACCGATGAGGAACTGGGGAGGGGATAAGGTCTCTTCCTTGGTAGGGGCAGATCCCTCTCACTCCCCTTTGGGGATACAGAGGATCTGATTTTCCTGTGACCACTGACGGCCCTCTCTTCTATGTCTACAAACTCTAGTTTAACCTCAGTCTCCAGCAGGCGCCCCCCAGCACCCCAGCCAAGTCCGTGAGAGGTATTGGTAGCTCTGGTGTGAAACTTGGAGCTAGGAGAAGCCAGGGGAGCAGCCGGGCTCCTGGATCTGGTCACGGAGGAGTCAGCACACACAGGCGGCTCCAGCCCCACTGATCCTGAAGGTGTATGTCTCTTGGGGGGCTTCCTGAGTGTTTCTACTTCCAACATGCTTGGGAACTTGGGGGAAATGAGAAGATGGGCGCAGGCTGCAAAGCAAGATGAAAAGAATGGCTCTCAGCTGCCCTACTCAACTCTGGGGACCATGAGGGGGAAGGCAAGGCTGGAGGGGAGAGGAGCGAGCAGAAGATGCAGGCGTGGTGAGATCCTAGGAAATCAGCCCCAGGACAAAACTCTCAAGACCACAACCTCCTTGGTGAGGGCTGGCATTCACTCCTGCAGACTGGATGGAGCGGCCCTCAACAGGAATCCCCACAGCCCTCTGTACCTTAGCGGGCTCAACATCCCTCTGTGCCAAGCTAACTGAGGTTTCTCTCTTTTCTTTCCATGTTCACTGAGAATCTAGCAGGCACGTGGCAAGTTTCCTTTGTTGCAGATACACTAGAAGACAGGCAAAGCCCCCGTGTGACCGTGGCTTCCAGGCTGCCTGGCGAGACAGACGTGAATAAAAGACTCGTGCTCACATCATGGAAAGCTAGAGCCACCATGCAGGTGTGAAGGAGCGACACTTGCAGTTGTGAGACCCCAAGGAGGGGACCGACCTCGCCAAGATGTCAGGCAGGTTTCCCTGGAAGAGGTGCAAGTGCCAGGTGCTGTAAGCTCAGGCCAGGAGGGAGTGGAGCCTAGGTCTCTGCAGCCCGCGCACCTGGGCTGTACCTGTCACCCAGCAGGGCACCAGAAGTAGGTCACGATACCAGGTACTCGGCAGTGACGCCACCAGCGGCCTTGCCAGATCTTTTGCAGTTCTTTGTCTAGAAGTCAGCCTGCACTCAGAAACGCAGGACAGGAACACAGAGCAGGACAGCCCCTAAGGCCAGAGACTCATGCCCCCTGGTGTCCTGTCACTCCTCTCTCCCTGTCCCAGAAAGACTCCTGAAGGGCTGCTCACACTTCCTCACCTCCCACGCCCCTCGAAGCCTGCTCCTCTGACTCTGGCCCCCGCCACTCCCTGGCACTGCTTTTGCCAAGGCCACCGGCGTCCCCCTTGGCACCTCCTCCAATGGACTTCTCTGCAAGCGCTGGGCTGCTGGCCCACATCCTCTGTTTGGAACGCCACCTTCCTGTGGCCCTGGAGCACCCCACGTTCTTGGTTTTCCTCTCACCTGCAACTCCTTTGCAGTCTCTGGTCTGGTCCCTCTTCCTCCCGCCTGTTCCTTCCTGCTGTTGCCCATGGTTCCTGCCCAAGCCCCGTATCTCATTCTGCACACCCTCTCCAACTGGGGGTGCATTCACACACTGACACACGGGCCTCCGTCTGGCTCCGAGACCTCTCTTCAGCTTCCCCTCTTCCACCTGCTCTTCCTACGGTCACCGCAATCTCGTCAATGGGACAGCTGTTCGCCCAGATGCTCCGACCCCAAGCCAAGGCACAATCCCGAACTCCCTTCCCTTGCTCGTTCTCCCAGAGATTAGGTCACATTCAGATCCAGGCACAACAGAAAAGAGACACGAAGAAGTCAGAAAAAAAGTATGTGGAAAAGGAAGGAAAGGAAAAGCCCAGCGCTAGAATGCATTTCTCTGGACAAAGGGAGAGTCATAGGAAGGTGACCTAACAGCCCCACCACACACATCGAAAAGCAAGTGGGCTTCGTCTCCTCACACCAGAATGACATATAGGCTCAACAAGATTTAAAACCAGTACGTTCTGACACTGAGTGATGTTCAACATTAAGAAGAATCACCAGGGAGGGCAGGGATGGCCCGCCTTTACAGGTGGCAAGCCCACTGAGGCAGCTCCAGGAAGATTCTGCCCGTGGATGAGGGGGGGCAACGTGATGCTCATGCTGAGCCCCCATCTCAGGACCAGAGGCATCACCTCGGGCCCACTGCCCAGGAACTCAGCCGCCACACCAAACGTCTGACCTCCATGGGGCACTGTGGATGGGCCGGACGAGGTCTCCAATGAGATGGGAGACACCGTCCTGGTCCCAGAAGTGCCCTGAGATGTCAGAACTGGAGTGGGCTTACCTCAGTCTGATCTTATGACTGAAGAACTGGAAATCCAGAGTGGGAGCGTGATGATCAGTGGCAGAGCGGAAGAGCAGAGCTGGCTACAGGCCTCCAGAAGCAGTCTGTAGGCGTCATCCCCACTGAGAACTCAGAGCAGGCTATGGAAACCAGGCCCACGCCAGACCTGCCTCACTGGTGACGGCCGAGGAAAGGGAAAAACCTGTGTGTTAGGACTGCAGCCGGGGCCACACCAATCCCATTCTGTTCTCCAATTAGTCTTGTCCCATCCGCACATCTGTTTTCTGTAGATACTCTCCATCCACTCGACTATGTAACAAGAATTCCTCGGATACCTACCATCAGCCAGCACTGTGCCCTAAAGACACACATACAGGACAGGAAGTGCCCGGCTGGTGCTCGGGGCTCAGGACAAGACAACTTGGAAGTGGGTCCGTGACGCCACAGCGAGGCAAGGGGTGTGTGTGCCATGGAGGCCGGGCCTCAGGCTGAGCTATGGATAAAATGAATCTATGACACTGGACTTTAGATTCTGTCTTGTGACAGAATCACTTACCTTAGGCTACGTTTCAGGATCCTCAACTCCTAACGGGCTCCCTGGGTAGATCTGGGGTCTTGTGTGATCACTGGCAGCGACAGTCATACCACTGCTCTCCCTTCCACTGAAGCACAGCGGGATGATGACTACGAGGCTGACGCCGTGGAGAGCCTCTACGTGAATCTAAAATGTAAAATTTGAAAAGAGAATCATTCCAAGACTCCAATACTTTGATTATTAGTAAGAAGTTACTGGTGACGTTTCTCACCATAGATGACATACGCACACTAAGGACAGCTACAAGATGGAGACCCCCAAGGTACCCAGCAGGCAGAGTCAGGAGAGCCGCTGCGGGGCCCTGAGAAGCAGGCCCAGCACCGGGAAGCAGGAGGCGAGGAGGACTGGAGCAGGTAACGGCAGAGGGATGGAGGCAGCGGGGACAGTTTGGAGAGCTGTTTAGGAGGCAGACTATGCTTGAGTTCCGATGCGGGGGAGAACCAGGGGATAGAGAAGGACTCTCTCGTGATTCCATTTACTAACACAGTTCACTTTTGAATATATCGACTTGAGGTTCTTCTGGAACAAGCCTTTACAAGTACATGTGGCAGATACAGGGTCAGGGATGCAGGGCACAGGCGGTGAGCGGGTTTATCTCTGGAGACGAGAAAGAATCTATTTTTTCTGAGAGCAAAGAAGGAAGGCAGGCTGTGGTGCCAGGCAAGCCCCTGAGTGCGGGTGGGGGAAGAAGTGCGGCAGTTCATGCCCTGGAGCCTACAGATTGCCAAGGGGAAGGTATGCGTCTCCAGAGGGAGCAGCCTGCTGGCTTAGCCCGAGATGGGAGGTGCCTCAACACTTACATGTGTGCCGGCTGCATGGATTAGGGGCTTCCTTCCAACCACTCTTAGCAGCCCTTTTCCCATGGGCACGCCCAGAAGGAAAGGAGCCACTTCTCTGTTGCTCTCGTGCCTGCCTCAGCCCAGAGGCTTGTGCAGAGCTCTGCCCACCCAGGGCATCCCATAACTATGGCACACCTTTCCCTGAGTTTCCACTGCCCAGTCCCCCTCCTGCCTCAGCTCCTGCACTGTCTATCCATCCCAGACCCCAGGAGATCCCAAAGCGCTTGCTGGGCCCTCAAGTCCTGGGCTTCTCATCCCCCCACCCACTCACCTGTGAGGAGAGGAAAGGTGGTGAGGAGAAGAATGGGAGGAGAGGCACATGTGGAAGGAAAAGAGTAGAGCAAACTACTATTTGTTTTTGGGGTTTGACTCACATGCAAACTCTAAGTGACATGTAATAATCGTGCATCACTGGATTTCACGTTATGCAAAAGTGACAAAACGAGACCTGTTTTAAAGTACACCCCAGGAGAACCCTTTGCTCTTTTCTGTGAGGCTACTTTCCATAACGGATTGAGAGCATGAGGTCCACGGCCGGTGTACGTGGGCTGAAATCCTGGCTGCCACCCAACAGCTCTGATCCTGCGCTAGCCGGCCTCGGCTTTTTCACCGACACCACAGGGACTACAGCACCCACCCCGTAGGCTTAAGTGAGCGAAAACACGTACACGAGTGTTCCGGGGCGGTCCCTGGCACAGAGCGCCGTGCTGGACACGAGCCACTGTCCAGGACAGGCTGCCGCACTGGGCGTGTTTTAGGCGCGGGGCACTGGGAGCGGGCGGGCGGCTAGCCTGGGAGGGACCCAGCCGGGCCGTCCGAGGGCCGGGGCGGGACAGGCCAGGGCGCCCCGGTCCGTGAAATGGCACCGAAAGCCCCCTCCCCGGCTTACCTAGGCCCGCCGAGACCACGCACCCCAAGCTGCGAAGCCAGGTGCGACTCCCGCCACAGCCGACAGCCCCAAGGCAGTCGGCAGTGACCAGCCACCTCCCCGCCGGCCGCCGCGTTTCCCCCGCTAGCCGCTGCGGGAGCCTCCGGAGCCCGGGGAGGGAGCGCGGGTTCCGGGACGCGCAAGGGCTACTTCCGGGAGCGACCCTCACCCACCCGGGCCTGCGGATGGTAAGCTCCTCCCGCTGGCAGCCAGCCCCCAGGGCGCAGGCGCGGCGGCCACGGCCGGAAGCGATGGGACTGCGCCGACTGCCCGCCGGAAGTCGCGCGGTGTTTTCGCCGTGACTGGGACTCCTCTATACTAATTTTTTTTTTTAATTTTATTTTAGTATGTTAGTCACCATTCATTACATCATTAGTTTTTTGATGGAGTGTTCCATGATTCATTGTTTGCGTATAACACCCTGTGCTCCATTCAATATGTGCCCTCCTCAATGCCCCCCACCCCCTCCCCTCTAGAACCCTAGTTTGTGTCTCAGAGTCCATCGTCTCTCATGGTTCTCTCACGGTTCGTCCCTCCGTACTAAGTTAATGGCGCTGGTTAAGCGGTGTTAGTCCTTCTCCACTAACCGATCTCCAGGGTCCCTTCCCACCCGGCTCCCTGAGCCCGGGAAATTTGCGGGACGGCGACCCGCGTCTGGCGCGCACGCGCAGACAGAAGACAGCCCCAGCCCCCACCCCCGCCCAACAACGGTAACGGTCCTCCCGTCAGAGTCTCTTCCAGCCCGGAAGACTCACCCGGCCTTTCAGGAAGCCCTCCCACGGTGTCTCCCCGGGCAGTTGCCCGCTGCTTGCTGATGCCGCGAAGGCCTCGCCCACGACCCCGGGGACGTCCCTGCCCGCGTCCCCTGGGGCCCCCTCTGTCACCTCCCCACACGGAACTGCTCAGGGGCCACAGAGGCCGCGTTCCCTGGGCTGAGCGGAGACGGATCCTCCCCGCTCCCCCACCCCCCGAAGTGCGCACGTCTTGTCCGGCAGGTTACCTTGCGCTTCTTTCCACCTCTGGAGTCAGACGCATAGAAGGACCGAGCCTGGGGTCACTATCGGGCCCTGAGCGGTCCTACCTATTCATCTTCCCGGGGATGGTCTCGTTTTTTCCCTCTCCTTACAGCGCCCCTGCTCTGGCCCCAGGCAAATCAACTCCAGGCTGGGTCAGTCCTCCAGTTTGGGCTAAAACCAGGACCTCTGCAACAAGAACATACATCTTAACAGTTTTGGGAGTCATTTTTAATCTTTCTTGATTCTCTCCATGCCTCAGAGATGTCTCTGTGCCAGCATCGTTGTTTTCCTTTCTGTGGCTTTGCAAATCGTGACTATCATACTTCCAAATACCTGGGAGTATCCCTCTTAATACTGTTTTTTTTTTTCAGTAATTTCCTGGTTATTTCTTGCCATGTTCATTTTTTCCTGAGAACTTGAAAATAAGGATGTGTATTCTAGTAACTTCCTCCCCTCCCCCAAATCTTTAGTGTTTTCATTGATACTGCATGTGTAAGTTATGTCATGGATGTTTGACAGGAAACATAGAAATGCAGGCCCCAGGTATCTTTCATGGCCCTCAATCCCAGGTCCTATCAGAATGCTCAACAGTGCTTGCCACTTCCTTTTCCACAGAGTGGATCAGCATGCTGTCCGTGACGGGAATAAAAACAGGCAAAGGCAGCTGAGATCCTGGCAGAGTAAAGAGTGGCATGGAACTAACGTATATAAAATTAATGTGATTAAGGGCTCCCACTTACTGGTGAGCCACTCACTTTCATCCATTCTCTTGGCTCATATTCACAATCTCTATGAGGCAGGCACTATTATTACTACACCAACTGAGCAATAAAACTGAAGATTATAAAGATTAAGTAACTTTCACTCAACTAACAGGCGGTGGAATAAGAATTTGAACCCAGGCAGCCCAGTTCTTGCTTGTGCACTCTCAACCTTGACACTGAGCTGAGCTGCTCAGGCAAGGTAAAGGGCTTCTGGGAGGCTGGGCAGAAAGAACAAAGAGAAAAATATGCTTGCTGAATCAAATCCTGCAGACCAAGGACACAGCTGTTGCACCTGGTATCACAACTGATCAAGGTCACAGCATCTGCATTTATCTTTCCAGGCCCAATGTTCTTGCTGTGTGAGCCACAGAATGCACCGGTACAGAAACTGACCACCTCAGTGTCTCCCAGGTCTTTGTCAGGGCTGACCTTGACCTGAAAGACTGACCTTTTCAGATGAAGGGAGGAGCCTTGCTGCTATCACAACCCTTAATCCCGAGGTTAAGGAGCCAAGGTGGTAGTTCCCGTGAGCTTCTGATAATATCCATTCTAACCATCCCACCTACGATTTTCGGTGGAAGATGGTGGCCGAGTGAGCTCAAGGTTCTACTGGGCTCAATGCAACACCAGAGCTCCCTCACTCACTTGGCCTCTGATGAGCCACCAGCTTATTGCTGGACTGCATAGCACTGGGACTAGGGTCTGCTCAGATTCCCAATAATCCCCTAAAGCTTGGGTGCTTCCTTCTCCCCAGGGTGTGGTCTGCAGGTCAGGAGCTCCAGGTCCTGCTGCGAAAGGCACACAGGGCACCTGACGCTCAGGATATCAGCTGCACTCAAGCTTTCCAACCCCCTTTCACAGGAGCTCTGGGTTGATAAACTGATTAAAATGTATCAATCACCTGAGTGGTTGATTCTAGGGCAGTGGTTCCCAATATACGAGTGGGGAGGACTTTGCCCCCATTTCAAAATGGCTAGAGACATAGATGGTTGTCAACCAGGAGCTGGGAGAAGGGATCTACTGGCATCTGGTGAGTAGAGGTCTGGGGTGCTATTAAACATCCTCAACGCAGGGCAGTAGCCCTGGCCCCCAACAAAGAGTTATTTAGCCCAAACTATGGATAGGGCCGAAGTTGGAAACCCTCTCTAGAGGGTTTCAGCTAGCAGAAGAACCCTTGGGAGGCTTGTTTAAAATGCAAAGTCCTGAGTCTCATCTGTGACATTCGAATCCAGCAGGCTTTGGAAGGGGACCCAGGAATCCGCATTTTCAAGCACAGCAGATAATTCTATTACGTGGACTGTATTCCATCCTGATTCCAAAACTCTGGTCCCTAGACCTGTGTGGGCCTGCCTAAGAACCACCCAGAGTGCATATTACAAGTCTGGGATCTTCACTCCATCTCTGGAGATTCTGTTGTACGCTACGTAGTTGGGTCCTAGCATTCAATGGGTTTGTTTTGTTCTGAGTGATGTCTACACAGGTTCATTAACACAGGAAGTGGTCTGAGTTAGGCAAGACTTGGGTCATCTGCCCTCACTTTTCTGGTACTACATGTGAAGCAAAACTCTGGTGGCTGTCAACTGACTTTGTTCCGGGAAACCGCAAGGTTTATAAACAAACGTCATTTCCAAGCACACAGACATGGAGCTTATAACCACTCCCACTGGCTTTCACCTCGGCTCCTCACATTCCCACTGTTACTAACTATCCTAATTCTTTTTTTTTTTTAAGATTTTATTTATTTATTTGAGAGAGAGAGAATGAGAGACAGAGAGCATGAGAGGGAAGAGGGTCAGAGGGAGAAGCAGACTCCCCGCCGAGCAGGGAGCCCGATGCGGGACTCGATCCCGGGACTCCAGGATCATGACCTGAGCCGAAGGCAGTCGCTTAACCAACTGAGCCACCCAGGCGCCCCCTAACTATCCTAATTCTGTTCCAAGCAACTGAAACTCACCAAGGGGCATTAGGGTCTTCATCAAGGAGGGGTAACTCTGTGGCCTGCAGTAAGGGTACACTTCTGTTTGTATCTCCTCCCCCACCCGTTCCGAATCTGGGCTGATGGTGTCCCTTCTATAGACTGGAATATGCCAGATCCCGAAGGGATGCTGAGGTGGGAAAAAGGCACACAAGATTGCCTGCAAGGTTGGCATCAGAACAGCAAGTTGGCAAGTTTCCTTAGCTCCTTGCCCTTTGGTTTTCCCAAGCAGTGCCTGGCACCTACAACTGCTCAGTAAACATTAGCCGTGGGCATTCGTACATATCCTTGAAGGACATTTCACCCAGGCTGTGGTCTCCTCTGGAGAATTGTCCCTGCCCCCCCCCCCCCCCCCCCCGCCACTAACAGCCACGTTCTAAGGCCACCACCTCTAACATCGGTTGGAGGCATCCCCGGGGGTGGCATAAACGGGTCTCTGGAGGTGTAGATCCTTCGTTGGAGCACTGCCCTCTGTCGGCCACCTGTGTGTGTGCAGCTTAGCTTACCTTGGCTGCCTTTGGTCTTCTCTCTGGGCTTATCCGATCCCAGGGTGGTCTCCGAGGCTGTTTCCCCACGAGGTATGGTGCAGGGGTATCCTACTCTCTGCCACCGCCCATCCGCCCATCCGTACGGATCTTTTGCCTCCCATGTGGCGGGCAGTGGATGCGGGAAACTAACTGCAAAAGAACTGATCTCAGCACCTAATGCTTCAATCCAGACCCTGCACCAAGAGACTCAACCAACCTAGCGAGGCTTCAGACAGCCTAAGGCTGGATCCCTGCGACAGCCTAGCCCCGTTGAGTTCTTGTCTGAAAAAGCTCTGGGCTGTCAGAAGAACGTAGTGTCTGTTCTAGCCAATACCTGACCACAGACCTCTGACCTTCTGCCCTCTGCCCTTTCTTAGAGCATTTACTAAAAAGAACTGCTTCCAATCATGAATCCTTCCTCTGTCCCTGTGAGACATATGTGTATGGATCTCCCGCAATCCAGTAATGTCTTTCTCAAGGACCTGAGCCCCATTCCTCCGAAATGAAATCAGGAAGGATTGGGCCTTGGTCCCAGTCCCCAGTGGGAGACACAGCTGGCCTAGTGGCACTTCCACCGACCAACCCTTTGTCATCTCACTTTCCTGACTCTACCTGAGCCTCCGCTTACCCCCTCTCCCTCCTCCCTCATTCTCCCTTTGAACTGCCCCTCACCTCAGCATAGATGGGACTGAGCTCAGATTTCCCTTGCCGTCAGTACTCACAGAATAAAACCTGCCTTCACCGCTTTAACTGATGCCCAGCTGTGTTTATGTTGGACAAATCCTGCTCACCTTGCAGTTTCTGCCTGGGGTGTGGGCATGAGAGCTTTGACAGGAACGCAATCCTCACCAAGTGGTGGTGGGGCGGCATCAGATCCTGGGAGTCTGCACCCATGCGCTCGGCTGCTCTCCTCTGTCCCTGCCGTGCAGGCAGAACGGAGGGAACCGGTGGAAAAGTCACTGAGCTGGGGAAGGAGCTGCCAGTCCTGAGCTGCTCAGAGGTGGCCTGGAGAGCAGGGGACGCTCCCCAGGACTCCACTTGACCAGAGGGACAGACACACATCCTGGGAGAGTCTGAGAGGAGCTGTAGCAGTCCAACACCAGGGAAACTGAGAAGCCAGGGAAGGAAAACCGAGTGGGGAAAGCAACCATATGTCGCCCCCCCACCCCCAACCCTGGGCCCGGGCCCATGATCTTCACCATCCCTGAGCCACTGGGGGAGCAGGGGTCCCAGGGGGATGGGCCTAGCTTAAGTTACAGCAGCAGGGATGGAGATGCCACGCAGCCTTACGGGGCATGTCCCCAGGCCCAGGGCCTGACCCGCAGGGACTCAGGAAAAGCGAGCCAAGAAGGTCCCCTCCTTGTATCGTTCCCTTTATCTCCCAAGGTCTTTCAGAGGGTCCCGCTGGCACTTGTCTTTCTCCCCTCCCCCTTGACTGCTTGGGAGGGGCCCTCTGACATGCTGGACCTTCCCTCCTCTTGAATCACTTCCGGGAACTCAGTGACAGTTACAGGCACCCAGCTCCCCTCCTGCCTCGAGAACCTCTTGTATCTTTATCTGCCCACCCCGTGATCACTGGCATTCCTGAACGTTCTTTCCCAGCCTTGTCTCACACTGCACTCCACCCCATGGCCTCAGGGACCATCTGTTATTTTATGCTGAAGACCCTCAACTCTTCAAACCCCTGACCTAATCGCTCACTGGACAGCTCCACGCGGATGCCCTGGACGCACTTGACTCGCCAGGAAACAGAGGAAACCACAGGCCACCATTTCCCCTCTGAAACCTGCTCCTTTGTGGCCCCTCATGGAGCCCGGCCAGCCACCAGGACCAGGGGCCTCCTGATCTATTGCTCACCACATGGTCCCCCACCCAGAGCAGTCCACATCCATCCCTGCCTCCCCCTCTCCCACAGCCCACAGGCTGGTCACCTTCAGCCCTAACCGGACCTTCCATCGGCCCACTCCCCTCATCCTCACCACCGTCCTCACCACCTCTCATCCGGCACCCTATCGACAGGCTCCTGTCCGTGACACACCCTATAGAAATCATTCTAGGGGCGCCTGGGTGGCTCAGTCATTAAGCGTCTGCCTTCAGCACAGGTCATGATCCCAGGGTGCTGGGATCGAGCCCCGCATCGGGCTCCCTGCTTCGTAGGAAGCCTGCTTCTCCCTCTCTCCCTCCCCCTGCTTGTGTTCCCTCTCTCGCTGTGTCTCTCTGTCAAATAAATAAATAAAATCTTTTTTTTTTTTTTTTTAAAGATTTTATTTATTTATTTGAGAGAGAGAGAATGAGAGACAGAGAGCACGAGAGGGAAGAGGGCAGAGGGAGAAGCAGACCCCTGCCGAGCAGGGAGCCCGATGCGGGACTCGATCCCGGGACTCCAGGATCATGACCTGAGCCGAAGGCAGTCGCTTAACCAACTGAGCCACCCAGGCGCCCAATAAATAAAATCTTAAAAAAAAAAAAAAAAAAAGAAATCATTCTAGAAATCAAATAGGGTCACATCACTCCCTTTCGTGGCTTTGCACTGCCCTTTGGATCGATGCAAGCTCCTCAGATGGTGTCCAGGCCCTTGATGGTCTGGTCCCTCATTTGTCCCAGTGCCTCCTCCATGTGCCTCCCCACCCCTAAACCTCTTAAACTTCCACCCATGAACTACACTCCCTGGCCCTGGAGGGCCAGTCCCTTCTGCTCATTCTGTTCCAGCCCCCTGCAGGAAGCTGGTCACTGACCAGGGGCCGGGGAGCAGGCAGACGGGCGCACTCAGGTATTTAGGAATGAGGCAGGCCACGCTCTGGAGATCTGGGGGACCTGCTTTATTGCTCAGCCTCAGGAGCTCTGCACTCTGTATCTGGGGTACAGACGAGTGGTGGTCAGAGTTCTGCTTGAACAATCCCATGTCTTCCTTCTGCCAGGACTGCTTCTGGGCAGAACCCGGGACGGCTGTACCTTCTCCTTCAGGTCTCAGGAGAATGTCATTTTCAGTGTCCACCATCCAGAGCTGCAGCTCCAAGCCTCCATCCCCGTGCCCCTCTCCTGTGCCCTCCAACCCACCCACTGAGCATGCGGGAATTGGGTGGACAGAGGTCCGGCAGCCAGCAAACTCAGCCTCAGCCAGGACTTGGCCACCACTCATGAGCCACTCGACATGGATCAGGTTTTCAGGACAACCCATACTCAACATCCCCAGGAAAGGAGTCTGAAAGGGGGGTGAGGTGGGATGTCAAAGGGAGGCCCAAATCAAGAGCTCTGAAAGACAGGCCAAGCCCAGAACCAAGAAATCTACGTGGGAAGTATCGCAATTGACCACTGTTCCAAAGATAATGCCCACTAAATGGAATGTGAATCAGATAAATACACTCAATAAATATTCAAGATTGGCGTCTTCCCCCAGGGAGGCAATGTGGTGGGGGTGGGAGGACCGGGGGGGGGGGGGGGAGGTGCACGAGGGCTCAGCCTCAACTCCCCTGGGAGGAGGGCACAGGCGGGGGTCCCAGGTTCTCTCTGGTCTGGTGCCTGCACATTCTGCCTTCCAGGCCTCGTCAGGCCAGGCGCCCCTCTACCCTCACCATCCGAGCGCAGAGCCCAGGCCACTCCAGGGCAGACAGGTCTGGGGCTGGCCTCAGGGGCCAGGATGGGCCCAGAGGGCCACAGTGGCACCCAAACCTCACCCACACCTGTCTCTCTTCATCCTAACTCCAGGCGACCTAGCTGCTGCTACTGGGTCAGGGGAGGGGACTCTGAAATCCACCCCACTGCTGTCAAATGAGGGAATCCAGGCCTGGGGCCGTGCTCAAGATGAGCCTCCAGGCAGCAGGGAGCCCACCCACAGAGGAGGGACCAAGACAGGGGAGGAAGGTGGAACAGCATATTCTAAGGAGATACAGCTTTCTGGGCAAGCCCATTTAAGTGACTATAAAGAATCCTAAACATACTGGCTTCAATCCCGACCCAAATCACTATGTTGTTTTTTGTGTGAATGTTTTTCCATTACTTCGACTTTTTCAGAAATTTCACATCTATATGTGTCCGAAAATTAAAGAATCCCAGGAAAGGCCTTTGTGACACCCCGATCGGGTCTCTCCATCTCACACGGAGGCAGGGATGCTTCCCAGGGCCGCACAGGACAGTGACAGAGCTGGTGGGAACCAGCGGACTCCCCATCCGGGGCTTTCTCCCTGGTCCAGCCCGCCCCAGGCTTTGGGCATCCCGGGCTGGACACCCCTTCTCCCCAGGACAGGCTGCCTCATTTGTAAAAGGCAAGTCCCACCCGTGTCAGCTCCTGGCCGGGGTCTACCTGGGAGAGGCAGGGGCAGTTTGAGGGCTGGTATCTTCTGTTCCAGCCTGACTCAGCTGCAGGCTTCCTGAGGCCCAGACTGGATGCAGAAGGCAGGAGCTGCTAGAACCAGGCAGATCCTGGGGGAGGAAGCCATGGAGGGACCCAGATAGAGCTGTGAGGGTGGGGACAAAGGGGTCATCAGGGACAGGACGGCCAAAGTCATCCAGAGAGCTGGGGCACCTGAAAAACACATCACATGAAGGGGTCACCTCCTTGCTGTGGAGACCCCCTCTCACCACCCCTTCTCACACCCTCCCTGGAGAACTTCCTTGTCCCTGTCTCTGCCCTGGCCGCTCAGCTCACTTCAGCTGTCCCTCTGTCCGATTAGTGTCTCACGGCCCTGTGCCCCAGTGCTCCCCCCTTCAGAAGAGATTCTGCATCCCCGGCCACCGCCTCTGCAGCCCCGCAAACCTGCCGCTGTGGCTCGGCCCGACCTGCTTCCCCTGAGGACCCTGCTCTTCCCTCAATCCCTGCTGCCGTGCATGGCACGGCAGGAAGAAGATTAGGTGCTCTGCATCTTTTTCTTTTTTCCTTTTTTTGCCAAATAAATGAGTGCCTGAATCTAAACATGAACTCTTGGGGCGCCTGGGTGGCTCAGTCAGTTAAGCATCTGCCTTCCCAGAGTCCTGGGATCGAGTCCCACATCGGGTTCCCTGCTTCTTCTTCTCCCTCTGCCTCTTCCCCACCCCCTGCCCCCCCAGCTTGTGCTCTCTCTCAAATAAAAAATAGAAAAAAATAAAATAAACATGAACTCTCATGACTGCCCTGCCTGGTCTCTTGCTGCACAGCAGTCCCCTTTCCCACCCGCAGGGCCTGGGCCCTCAGTACCTGGGGCCGAAGTGCCAGTGGTCACTCCCACAGGAAGCGCACGTACCAGATGGTCTCGTTCTTCAGCTGCGGCCCGAAAAGGGGGTTCAGCTGAGCCAGGATAGTGATGAGCCAGCTGCCAGGGACAGCACAGTGAGGGTGAGCCAGGTCATAGGAAGAACCCCACCCTCCGCACCCCGCACGCTGCCTCTGGTCACATGGCCAACCCAGCAGGTGGAGGGTCCGTGTGTGGGAGCGAAGGGCCCCTAGCCAGCACACGAGCTTGGCCTTGGAGCTTGTGGGTTCGGGCTTAGGTTTGGTTTGATGTTTTGTCGACTGATAAGACCCGAGTTGGGGCTGGGCTCTGGGATGAGAGAAGTAAGGCAGCTTCCAGAGGTATGCTGAAAATGACTCCTGGCTGTGCCCTAGTATATCTCTGGTCTAGGCACCCCCCCAGCCTGCACCTGGGAGCAGACAGGACAGGTCAGACGGGAAGCATGTCAGAATCACCTACGTTTAGGAGCAAGAGGAAGGAACCACCTCCTGTGGAAGGCTGACGACCAGAGAGCCCCACTCTGAGGCCTGCTGGGGACAGGACAGGAGCTGGTCAGGCCCGTGAGCTTTCCAGGGACCGTCGGTGGGCTGCACATCCGGGGGTGGGGGGTCGGGCCCCACTGGCATGACTCTGTGTGCCCACGGTTGCAGGCCCCTGAAGACTCTAGAGGGGCACGGCTTCACATGCCTCACACAGGCCCCAGCGGTGCTCTATCTGGTGTCCTATCAGGAAGGCTCTAGCTGTTTCCCCTGAGTGCCCCCACGGAAGCTGTCAGAAACCACAGCCTGCTTATCATCTGCATGATCCCTGAGCTGATGTTTTGTAAACATGATTTCTAGGCCCAGCATTCTCTTAAGCTGCCCCACCTTGCCGCCTGTGTGCACCTGCTCTGCAGCCAGCCTCCCTTTCCCAGAGGTCCATACGGTGTTTGGAATTACGCACAGCCTGAGCATATGCCTGTTCCCAGCCACCACCCGCTCTGTCCCGGTCTCTGAGCCAGCAAACCCCAGCCCCTCTGCGGCCCTCCCTGGGACCGATGAGGACATTCTCAAGCCCCGAAGGACCAAGAAACAGCATAACAGGCCTTAGAGACGCTCTGTCTGGGGAGAATTCTGAAAAACCGTACACACCCATATATGTAAGCGGACATCTAAGAGTCGTCATTATTTTTAACAAGTTTTATTTTTTTGTTGTTAATAGGAGGTAGAAAATATTTAACATTAGATAAAGTGAAAGGAGAGAACTGGCTAACAGGAATAAATAGTTGGTGATCCAATTAGATAAAACAGGTTTTAACTACAAAACGTACCCCAAATCTGAAAGCCCTCATGTAAAAAATTTTTGTTAAGTGCGGGCCTTATGCTATGTATTTTGAAAAATTTGGCAGTCTTGAGAAATATTCCAGTCACTGTTACTTCTCAATTCCAGTTACTTTTAAAACAACCCGTTACCTTTTAAAGAATCAGTAGCTCATCACGTCGTTACCTGTCCTATTTTTTTTTTTTTTATTTTTCCTGGATCATCAGTCTTCTTTTTTTTTTTTTTTAAGATTTTTATTTATTTATTTGACAGAGAGAGACAGCAAGAGAGGGAACACAAGCAGGGGGAGCGGGAGAGGGAGAAGCAGGCTTCCCGCGGAGCAGGGAGCCCGATGCGGGGCTCGATCCCAGGACCCTGGGA